GGCTGAAACAGCATGGCCAAATTTCCCGGTCAAGGGCAAGCCTTCACTATACCTAATGGGCTTTGATTAGTGCAAGGCTTGCCTGAAAGGTTAACCATGACGCCGCAAAAATTCCCTGAATCCCAAAAATGACTATGAATCCTAACAACCATAAGTAACCAAGAGTTCAGGCGCTAATAACCTTGGAGGGGACATTTGAAGAACTCCCCCCAGGTACTAGAATTCCCATGGAAATTAGGGCCCTCGCCTAAGTTTGAGGGGGAACAGGCGGGTGGGTGGACTAGTTACAAGTAAAGTAGTTTTATCCGGATAACGTAACCCTAGTTCTGCATCTAGGCGCTGTTCGGCTCGGAGGGGCACTTTGCACTTTCGCTAGTTGCTTTGGCTACTTCACGTTAAGTAACTGGTATAAATTAGTTGAGAGTTGTAATAGCACAAACGAAGAACTTCTGTTACAAAAACTAACGAACCTTTAGAAAATGGCCTGTTCAAGCATCCCTGAGTGCTATTTGGTGCCCCCACCAAGCAGTACAGCGTTTAGTTTTTTAAACGCCCCTCCAGGGTTATTAGCGCCACACTCGAACAACACAATATCCGCACGGAAGTCGAAAGCATGGCATATGCAAAAGTCGGAAATATTCCCCGTTTCAATAAGTCTATATTAATTTCAACAGCTGAAAATGAACGAGAAGTGCATGGCGTAGCTGCGAAATCAGCAAGACAAGTCGAGAAGATGATGATGACGGAAAGGAATTCAATTGTGCCGTCAAGACGTCGTCTCAATCAACGACACATCCAGTAGTGACGGTTAATACGACAAATTTCCTTTACTGAGAATGCAGGAAAATAACGCCATCAGGGTACGCCCCCCCCCTCGCTGCGTTGTTCTTCCCACTCAGCCCACCCACAAACCTCAACGATCTATTCCCACGGGATGAAATTCAACGCAGGAATTTATTATGGTGTAAAAGTGCATGTGTTCCTGTTCCTATGAAAAATCCGGTTGAGTCAAATTTATCTTCGGATTCTCACCAGAATCACGAAAGAGGGATCGAAGGCAACGAGATTTACAAGTCTAAATGGAAAATTTGGAAGAATCGATTCACTGCTCCAAAGTAGGTGGGGTCGATAAGGTGGGCGTGGCAATCCGTGGGAGGGCGTGGTTGGACAGTTCGCTGGTGGCATTTGCAAGTGTTTAAGAAAATAAAAAAACTACAAAATCACCAACGTGGATCTGGTGCGGGGAAAGGAGCCAGTAGTGAAAAAAAAAACATATGAAAAACCACTCGAACTGCAACAAAATCTCCGATAACCCCCATATTTCCCACGGGACGATATTCAATACAGACCTGTCAAGACGCCAAAAGTGCATGCTGCCTATCATTAGAAAAAATCGTCTAAATAATGGTGCAAGCAAAAGGAAAAAAATGCAACAGAACTGCAGCGTTATCTCTGAATATAACCCCTTATTTCCCATGGGAACGCATTCAATTCAGACCTGTCGGGTCGCCAAAAGTGCATATGTTTCTATCTTTCCAGAAAATCTCCCATGAATCATATTTTTCGAGGGGGCGAGATATCTCTTCTGCGAAGTCAGTGCCAGCGCGAGTCGAATCAGCAATTTTACCATTACAATGATTAAGCCCAACCTTAAAAAAGGGGCGGAGCTAGACGCGGAGGGCGCGGTTATCCGCAAAGAGGGCGTGGTCAGACAATTGAGTGTAATTACTGAGAGGCCGTTAGGAAGACATCTACGTGTGCAACGACTAAAGAAAAAGCTACCAAAGTGGCGATGGAGCTACAATAAAATCTTGAAGACCCTTTAATCCCAATTATTTCTGCCAAATAAAGTTGTTAGAAGGAGCCTTCGGCCATGGGTTTGGCAATGGCTCAGCGACTAGCCTCCCCTCTGCTTAGCTGTCGGTCGATTCCACGAGCGAGAAAATCATCAAAGTTCTTGGAGGCGATCCAAGCTTTAACATCGGATTTGAATTTTTCAAACAGATTATTTGCTCCAAGTCATCCAAGTCGTTATTAATTTTGTTCGTTGCCAGTTTTCTAACGACTGCTTGACGCGATAGTCTGTAAGAGCTCCAGTCGGTGAATATGGTTGATGTGGAGCATATCCCATCTTTGACTTGGAGATCGATTCGAACAAGACTCATCATGAAGGCAGACGTAATCGTGATTGAAGACAGTAAAAATGCGTGATCTTTCTGTGTTGTTTTCGGAGGTTTTGTGGGGACCCATGCAGTCGAATTACACATTTCTTCTTGGTTTTTCGAGACGGCGAATGATAGTCTACCAGTTGCCATTGAAGTCGTCGCGTAACATTCGTATTGTGAGGCTTTCGTCTCCATCCACGGTCGCTAAAAGGCTGTGGTCTAAAAATCCAATGGTTCTCTTTCTCCATCCTGCAAGTTTTGCGCTCCAGATTCGTATCTACAAATCACTTTTCAACTCGGCTTTTGCTGACTGTTCCCTCGCTGAAAAAATCGTTGAGATCGCTAGATGACTCTCTTACGTTCCAGCTTCTCCCAAAAAGGTAGGGCATAATGTATCCAATATGAAGATGATTTTCGATACTCATTCCTACCATTAAAAGAGAGGTCATTTTTGAAAGGCAATAGTAAAAAATGCCAATTTTCTCAAGCGCTGAAGATGCGGAAAAAGGAGCAATAATTACACATCGACCCAATAAATGAGCAATCACAGTATGTAAAGCTCACGCGAGAAATAGCTAAAGGTTGGTTAGAATATCTGAATATGCGGATGAAGCTGTCCAATGGCATTGCAGAAGTAAAATGGTACAGGGAACCTAGCTGTAAAAACATCCTGTCGTCACATCCTGCTGCAGTGAAACGTGCAGTCATTAGGAACATGACACGACAGCAACCAGGATGTGCAGAGGCGATGAAGAACGACTAGAATCAAGATCTCCAGCATCGAAAACAGCTCACGTGAGGTTCTGAGTTGGCGCGAATGATGGAAAAAAAGAGGAGAACCATTGGACCACTCCCCTTGGCAAGCATAAGATGGAGCAGCATAACGGGAACGACTTTGATGTTAAATGTGTTATACTGGCGTACGAGACGGAAACTTCAGCTAGGAAAGTTCTGGAATCATTCTGGATTTTCGCGAGAAAACCAAGAATGAACAACCGAAACGAGTGTCTGGCCATTACAAATGAATTCCTGCCGTTTGTATCAGAGTGCGAGCTACAGTAAGGACTACGTGCGCACGTGAGGGTTTGCGGTGCAAGCACACGCAGAACATCGAACGCTAGACTACGACGTATACCGCGCTGGAAAGGGTTACGGGGCAGATGTCAACCAGACGATCTCTCGCTGCGAGGGTCCAGGGCTAATTTCACGGGGCATCTACCAGTCCAGCAGTTGAAGGGGAAGGTAAAGGAGGAGGGATCAGAGAAGGAAGGAAGAAAGAAGGAAGGAGGGAGAAAAAAGGAAGGAGGGGAGAAGCTTTCCGGTTGACATGTGCCCTGAGACGGCTGGAAAGAGCTATCCTCACGCCTTCATTTTACATCCAATGACATCAGCACTGCAATTACCGCGGTATTGTGAGAGCACCGTTGCAGGAAGATGTTGTCTTGATGAATATTCGACATGAGCTGAGGCGATGGGTGAATGTGGGGCTCATAGCAGCACATATATCTGAGAAACAGGGAGGGTTTAGCTGCGCGCATCAAAGAACGCGTAGCTGGGAAAAAGCGTGATATTATAAACACTCCCCTTAGCGAGCATAAGATTGAGAAGCACCACGGGAACGACTTCTATGTAAGTGCACTATATCGAAACGAAAATCTCATACAAGAAAACCTTCGAGTCATTCTGTTTTCGCGAGAAACAAAAATGAACAGCCGAAACGAGTGTCGTTTGTATCAGAGTGCGAGCTATAGTAAGGGCACGCTACAACAATTTTTGGAAGGACAGGGATGGGGAGGGGGGGGGGGGGCATCTTGCAATTTCGCTGCTTCAATAATTCCGGTTTACAGGTCTCACCTAGTGAACTTGTGTATTCTTGTGAAGCTGGAGCAAGCTCGTCAAGCCATCATTGTAAAACTTGTCAACTCGAGAAGAGGCTGTCTAGGTGGATCAACACGTCGATTGGGAGTAGCAAAAGTGCTAAATGCCCCCCCCCCTCCCTTCCCCGTCGCCGAACTGCCCCTAGTTTTGGCTTATGCGATACGATGGGACTCGAGTGACTTCACTAATTTCACTATCACACAGCGCAAACTAGGCTCTGCACGATGGGATATTCGGTGAGCTGATCGCACTTATTACCAGGTTGTTCATAAGCTTTCAGGACCCTATGCCGGAAGCGCTAAGGGGTCAAGGCGCTTGGACGGTAGGTTGCAATTTTAAAGCATTGAGCCATCTCCAGACTTCCGAAGAAGACGAGAACGTCGAAAGATTTGGCCAACAAAAGGATCTGGCGCTGTTCGGCGATGAGGGGAGGGGAGGCACTTTGCACGTTCGCTGCTTCAGTAGCCCTGGATTACAAGCTCATTTCGGTGAAACGCGTGAACACTTGTCAAGCTGGAGCAAGCTGGAGCCACCATGGTGAAACTCGTTGATTCAAGATAAGGCTCTAAAGATGGGCCGACACGTCGATGGGAAGTACATAGCAAATGTGCAAAATGCCCCCCGTCGCCGAACTGCCCCGAAGGATCCATCTACGAAGATCTCCGCACAATCCCTTCATTTTAAAAATCACCAATCAATAAGTTTATCGGTCTTCTTTTCATTATGACATGGGATATGTGTATTCCGGTCCAAAAAAAGCGTTCTGATAAGTTTAGAGTATTGAACAGCTGCTAAGTAGACCATACGAAACGGGGGAGAGAAACTGTTCGACACACACCATGTGTGTCACGCAGTCCAGAACGTGCTAAAATTCGACATCATTCCGACGTTACAAGAAGGGGGAACGGAGAACTCATCATGCATGACTATCATTCGTAGACCTTGTGGGTAACCGCACCCAGGACGATATTTACTTGTTTATGATTGTACCCAAGATGCGCTTTGACAAAAGAGAATAAAAATACATTGTTCATGGTGTACTTTTGGCACTTGCCCATCTTGTTCTGAAGTTCAAAAGACATAATATAGCGGGACAGAAGGTTGCCAGAATTAGGCTCGCCGGTTATACCAATGAAGAATTTCCAATCGGCACAAACTAAAGATAGGTCACTTGGGACTAAAACATATTTGATAGAAGGTATTTGACAGAGGGTCAGTCTAGCCAAAGCAACCAAGTTATTCCCGAGGCGGGGCGGGGGTGGGGGGCAAAGTAGTTGCCTCTAAGATCTGAATACGAACCCCGGACGTAATACCCAGGCCCAAGTAGTCAGTTGGATGGACGAACCAGTACCTGTTGACATTTTTCAATGAAACTGCCGTCTTAAATCTGATATCAAGAAACTGTTGACATATTTTTGTTCCCATCTGAGAATTCTGGTCAGAACTTCATTTGCGGCGATATAATTTACTGCTCTACCTAGAAACTGATGACTCTACACAAAATGTCCTAAAAGAAGATGGGTAAGGGCTTACATGAATGGGTAATCAGCAAAACTAAAAATATAGTGGTTATGAACCAGAAATCGTAACAGCAGTTGTTTTGGAAATGTGGCAGAGAAGCCTTGAAGGGATCTTGTCTATAGCATCAATTAGAAGCTTCTTCATAGAAAATTAGAGCAGTTGAAATTGAATTCATGCAAAAAGCAGAAAGGGATTTGACAGACTTCGCGACGGCAGCGCTTCGGTCGCGCGTTCGCGCGATAGATGCACATGCTTTCTACTGCATCAATCGCGTCAAACGCGCGACCGAAGCGCTGCCGTCGCGAAGTCTGAACGCTGCCTTACGTGCGGACCCACGTGCCTATATAACGACTGTTGCAAATTGCAGTGACTATACTGGACGGTAATGGATAAATATGATTTGAGTAGACAGGTGAGTATTAAATCATCGAGCACAGATGCAATTTATGAACTTAAAGACACATTTCGCCGTGGTACAGAGGGCGAAGAACTGGGTGAAAGCTCACAATCACTTTCCCTCATTCACTGATGCGCCATCGTTTCATCACTTTTGAAAGGGGAACACCCCACTAAGAAATGCACAATGGTCGCGATTCCCGCTCATTCCCCCGCCCACCAAGTTATCGTGGAATGTGGCTTTAGCTTCCTTCATTTTCCTAGCGCTTCCCTGCCAGTGCCTTTGCCAGGACATGATTGGTTACCTTTGAATTTCTCCTCAGAAAGCAGTTATGCCGTTGCGCACTGAGGACAATTAGGACTCGAAAGAAGGCTATAAAAATGGATTGTTCCTGAAAAAAATTGCATTTCGGACATTCTCTGGGATGGGCAATACGAAAAAGGCCACTAAAGCTGGAGGCAATTACTTTACAAGGGCCTTTCGCTATAGAAAACGTTGGCATGAAAAGGTAGCCAAGCTCAAAAAATGCTTGAAAAAGAAGGCGAAAGAGAAGAAAAACGTCAGCCGGGCTCGAAAGGACATGAAGAGTTGAGTTTATAAGGTTCACAATGAGGGTGCAGCACTTAGAAGTCCGTGTGGGCGGAACACTTCAATGACGCAACTCTGGTGTTCGTCCTGAGGGGTCCAAATACTGCTCGGAAATTCACAGGACAAAAAGAAAGGGCTCTAGTCAAAAGGTCGTCGTCAACCTCCTCCAGTTCATTAAGGTTCCCATAGAAACTTGAAGCGCCTCATAAGATTTTCTATAGCATTTCCACGTTCATTGAACGGACCTTATGGTTTACTAGAAGTAACAAAGAAGTGGCTGAAATATTCCCCCGTCAGAGCATTCATCTCAAAATGCAAAAATTCAATTTAAAAGCGCATCTCCGAGTAAAAATAACTCCTTAGCCGCAGCCCCACAAGAAGTATCAGTGAAACGAAAAAGGAAAGAATCAAGATCGGGCACATCATTGGTTGGGGATTTTGATTGGGTGCAAGCCCCCCCCCTTTTTTTAGGGAGTTGTTACGGCCCACTGGTTCCCTCCTCATCGAGCTGTCGACCGCGAGGGAAATACGACCCCCTACCATTTCTTAGATTTTCCCCAACATCCTACCACTTTTTCCGTAATTTCCTGGAAATTTTTCTACTTTACCCTTTTGAAAATTTTGCCGCCGAGCTGGAGGGAGGATATATATAGTACACATGAAACAGGAAAGATCACGAAAAGTCAGCGACCTCTCTCACAAGGCCAGGAGCCAAATACGAGCCCCCCCCCCCAAACTACCGCTCCCTCCTTGTCTTTCTTGCCTTTATGGCGTCGCGTCCGTGAAACAAGAAAAACAACAATCGGAAAATTTTTTTCTTGTCCCATACGACCCCGCTCACCCAGCAACCAAGACACGACCCCCCTGTTGGAGAATCCCCAACAACGATATGCCCTAATCAGGACATTTGCTGATAAATGTTAAGCCGGGATTCGATGCCCGACCACTTGGGGAATCAGCGCTGACTAATTCCATTATGGTTTACGCCGCACATTACAAGTCTTCAACAGCAGTTACTTTTCAAGACGATTTGGCCTATAAAATAACGTTTCGAGCGTTCGGCCTGGTGGGGGCACCCAAACTAGCTCACGTTTACCATTTCGCAGCTTTACGAATCTGCAGGTCCTGCGAAAGTGAGACCTGTCGTTTCACATGAACTAACAGAAGGAATGCGAAATGCCCTCCCAGGCCGAACAGCGCCGGGAAATTCAACTTCTGAATTCCCAGAGTTCCTTTAAAAACAAACAGACTGTGATCGAACTTTGAGGTGGCATATTTCTGGCAAAATGTGGGATGGCTCGTTTTCATCCACTTTCAAATCCACGAGTTCGCCAAAGAAAGATGAATAGCCCTACTGGGGCTAATAGGTTCGAGAAATGCCGACCCATCTGAACCTCGTGAGAATAATTATGCGAGTGATTTACGGGTTCTACGCTATTATTGGTCTCCCAGGATACCAATATCCTAACCGAATAGATGAAAAACCAAAAGAAACCGTGAGGGCCTCTTGCCCTTTTAACGGCATATACCAAGGGATAGGAGAAGAGGGGATTTTCAGACGACGAGCCGAAAATTTTAGCGTGAGTGGACACATTTTCGTTGGAACTAATGGGCACCTTCCGACTATTGCATCCCCTGAATCTTGGAGAAATTGTAGAAACCCCCCTTCCTCCCGCTCCCTCTCCAAGCTTGACATGACGTAATTTCACGGGATTCTGGGGGAGGAGGGGGAGGGAATGCAAGAAATTCCGAAAAAGAAACTGCAGATAGAGGAGGCTCGTATCGTGGATTCTGGGGACGGGGGGCTCGTAATTCGCAAAAATTTTCCTCAACGGCAGAACGTGCCGTAATAGTAGTTGAATTTGCGTTGCCATCCGTTGCCGAATAGCACTGTTGTATTCAGAACAAGTCCTGCTGGGCACAAAACACTCAACTCGCTGTAGTTCTGTGGCTCAGGGAGGGGGGAGGTACAATTTTATAAACTCCTTTAGATCCCTACGGCCAAAATATCCCCTCAGAAGTCCACGACCTCTACCCCTACTGTCTTCCTACATGTTCCAGAATCTCCAAACTTCCAGCTTTTTTCCAGAGCTTTCTGAAATGACTCCGAACTCTGGTTTTCTCCAAAAAAACCCCTTCTCCCAGCGACACAATGCGATGCGCTCCCGAAGGGGGGGGAGGAGGGGGCAGAGGATCCTTAGCGTTGCTCTGCCTGCTACGCTACGCGGGATGCTGCAAGTTTTATTTCCAAAACATTTGTTGAACAATTATTTGACCCCTCCCCCGAGGTTCACTCGCGTGGGAATAGAATAGCGGACCATCAACCCTTGACCCGCTTCAGCATTCCTTTTGTTGCATGTAACATAAAATCCTTCTACGCACCCCCCACTCCCGATTGACAGTCGTTTTTTTCGTGTCCAACCCGCCCTTCTAAGGTAGAAAAACGAGGAAGAAATGGCGCGGAAATCGACCCCGAACCATTGGCGTAACTTGACAGCACTTTACAGGTATTTACAGGTCAGGTCACAAAATTGTCCGCCCCATTGACAGCAATTAGCTAAATGCCCCTCCCCATAGCTGAACTACGCCCTCGACACTACCAGAGGATGGCACAGAACGAAAGAGAGAAATGTAGAAAGGGAGAAATATCGGCATCAAACGACCTCTTTCCTAAGTTTCTTCCTGCGCCCCTTCCCCTTGCTCAATCCTACCCTTCATCGCCTCATCTCCCTAAGTTTTATTTGTTGTTGTCGGGCTCCTGTCATGAGGTTGTTAGGTGCAAACACTATTCAGCCAAAGCTTCGTCCTTTTTTCGTCCTTTCCGAAGGCGTAAACATAGCTCAAGGGTTGAAAAGTACCCACAACCCCCTCAAAAGCTTCCTATCCTCCAATAGTTCTCACATGATCCCAGAAAAGCCACGAAAATACCCAGGACAGAGATGAGCCCACCGTAGAGTGCTTTGCTCTGATGACGTCAGAAGCGCTAGGCGGGAGAAGATTTTTTCAAATATTCGCAGAACCAATATTTATTGGTTTTTTCACGAGCCACATTTAGAAACTGGAAATGACAGGAAGATCGAACACTGCCACCAGAAAAAATTCCCACCTGGCACAACCTCATGGCACATGCATAAAAATGCAATACCAGTAACTGGATTTTTGCAGAGCGAATCCATTCTATTGCACTAGGTGAGAAAGGAGAGACGAAAAACAATGTGATCGCGGGCGAGAGACCAGGGACAAGAAATAGGAGCTCAGAGGCGCTAACAGCTTTGGGGGGCACACCTGTTAGCGCTTGTCAGGATACTAAATTCTGTAAACTTTACACATGTTAATATCGGACAACTTTGTCAACACCCTGTAAGACTTGTCATTACTTGTCAAGCACCCTGCAACTCCTGTCAAACTGAGTGGTCAAGCTCTGGAAAAAATGAGCTGGCATTCCAATGACGCTAACACTATTTCTCCGAGCTTGACAAGAGTTTACAGGGTACTTGACAGGACTTTACAGGACTTGCAGGGTGGGACACGATTGTCCGGTATCCACATGTGCACGGCTCACACGACTCAAGAAAGTTTGTATACAGACATAATTGCCCAATGGCTTACAGGGATATGCCCCTCCCCCCCCAAGCCCCCAAGGTTATAAGATGACACAACACAGCCGAACACAAAGATGAGCGAGCAATGACATACACAGTCCTACACATGTTATGCACTGGCATGCGAACACAACGCTGTTACTTCTGGGTAGGGCGGGCAACAGGTGGGCGGGATTGCAGTAGTGATTAACAGCCTCGAAGCGCTCATTTCTGCTAATATAGCCGTGAAAAAGGCGCGTTTCCCTGCACAGAGCAGAGATTTTACCCCTCAAGTAGTGGCGGAGTAAGGCTCCAAAGTGAAGTTTGGCTAGCCAATAATTAGCCAATGATTTATTTTTTTATTCATGCGATATGACATATTGATTATAAAGAAAAAGGTACAAGGGCAAAGGCGAGCCCATCAATAAAACCTATGTGCTCATGGATTTCTTATGAATGTGTCAAGTTAGATTAGTATCTCGAGCGCCGATCCTAAGGGACATCAGTATCACGGCAACACGGATATAATGCAAGCTATGGGACTGGAAGGATATTCAGTAGCCAGCTGACTCGACATGTCTGCCCTAAAGGTGTAAGGCACGATAATTCTGCACTTGCTCAAAAATAGTAGCAGTGGTGCCATACAGTAGAAAAAATGACGAAAAAGTGAAGTTAAACAGGAAAAACCTGCGGAAAAACCTCTGCTTTGCACGGCATTGGGCGAGCATTTTTGGACGAGTTTTCCGTTGGCATCGTGCCAACAATCGCTTTGATGTATGCTGCTGCACGCATGTATTCATATATCTATGTAGCAACGCTTCATATCATCTGTACTTCATAAATGGAGCGATAAGAGTGCTAGCGTTGATGTGACTGTGCGGTCATCAGTGGGCGGGCGGTTGCGGTGGGCGTGTGGGTTGGCATGTTGCACCTTGGTTGGGCGCACAATGGCGCCCTTGGTTGGAAAAGGCACCGCGCAGCCCCTGCTAAGGGACATAATATTCTTTCGTGTTAGGCGTATCAACCCTGCACGCTTTCTCGATTTGTCGTGCCACTTGCCTATGAGTGTTTTCCGGTTGGATTTTTTGGATCCTGGTTTGATTGCGGCGCACGTGACACGATTTGCAGCAATGCTTTTGCCGCGTTGCCGCAGCGCAGATCTCCCAGTATGGTTAATGTACCAGATCGCAAACAATCAAAGCAGCGTGACTATAAGCATAGAAGTTACAGCTCTAAGAAGAAACTCGTCTTCTTAAGGGATAATTTAGGAAAGAAATGCTAAAAGGAGGAAGGGAGAAGGAAGTGCTGGGAGAGGCGGAGCTATAGGAGTCTG